CTGCTTGTACATTAGCTCTGTCTTCTGTGTTTCCGGTAGCTTGCCCTGTGTCTGTCAGCAGCGTGTGTTCTGCCATCGGTCTCGTCTCGGCAGCAGAATCTCGTCTAGGGCAACGAAGTCTTAGGTTCCAGCAGCAGAATGCCCTTCTGCTCGCTGCATCGCTATTGAAAGGCCAGTAGTCTTTGTTCCCAATTGGTCCTCCACCAGTGGCCCGTGCAGGCAGCCATCCTGCGGCGATCTCAGTGTGACAACCCGGTGGCAGTGTCACGCGTACGCATAAACTTGCGTCATCGCCTGGTGTCGGCCCTTGAAGGTCGCGGTCTTGGCCCATTCTGCCTGCGCCTGCACTTGTTCTCTAGCCCTCATGATGTCTCGAGTGATGACTCGCGTGCTGGGCCATTCTAACAAATGTAGACCATGACAATGTGGTTAAGATTTTCCCTGGTAAAAGTGGTCTCCTGCTACCCATTAAAATTGAGATCAGGGAGTTTTTGAATAATTCACGGCTGCTTTGCCTTTGTCGGCTTCTACACTCAGGGATGCATCTTTTGTAGAAGGGCTTCAGCTATAGTTGGTACTACATATTGCAGGCTATGGTCCACCTTATAAACAGAAAGATACCAAGAGGAAGACAACACGGGGACAACACTTTTCCTCGCCCGGCGTTTCGACATCCGCCGCGGATTTTTCATCAGAGAGATGAGCAGGAAGTAATAGCAGAAACGGGTAACATATGCACAGGAATTTGCAGTATTTATAGAATACAGCCATTACTGCAAACGTATAACGAAAATTAATGATAATCGCCCTCTGTTGCGTTGAAAGCTTGTTTATCGACTTGCAGGCTCTGACTTGCTGAACTTTGATCACACGTGCTGGACTCGAGCGTGATGACTGCTCGGCCGTCTGGTGTTGGTGTAAGACGATGCGGTTACCTGTGGGTTCCCTAAGTGGCCCCTTGCTTTGGCCAAATTGAGCCTCAGCACCGAATATGGATGGGGTAAATCGTTGCACTTGTTAATGGATTGGAGGGCCGTGAACCATGACTCAAGTAATTCTCTGCTCACACGATTGTCCCCTCTTGCTAGAATTTTGGCCTCACGAGAAGTGGCATCATTTCGCCGCACTGCAGCCGCGCGTTCGGCTATTCGCGTCTTGAGAAGTCTGCCGGCTTCTCCGACATAGTTACTATGTCCGCAACTGCACCAAATCCTCTAGACGACTCCAGATGTTTCTTGCTGTGGGAGTGGGCCTTTCGGTTTCATTATCTGACGCCTGATGGTTGTCTCCGGCCTGTGTGTGACTCCAAGTCCAAGTGGTGCAAGACAGCAGCCGACGGCCTCCGAGACGTTTTTGACGTACGGGATCGTTTGCCAAATTTTGGGGTCGGTGCGATTTTGTTACCCATCTCATTTGTGCAAGCATCGGTTGCCGAAGTTGAATCATTTTCTCGGAACACCCGTCGAACGTACTGTAATTCGGATGTCGAAACGTCAGGCGAATAACAGTGTTGTCCAAGCAATCGGATCTTCTTCTTCTTCTTCTCAATTACTTCGTAGGACTCGCATGTTCGCTTGTATTGACAGAAGGATATCAGGCATTGATGCAAGAATATGCAGATTTTAACTCTTTAATAAATTTAACGTGTTCCCTGTCCTTACACCTGTCTAACAGCCTTTTCACACACCAACGTCGAAAATGTAGTAGATTTCCCATCTCATGAAATGTCAACCAAAATTAGCAAATGTGCTTCCACTTCAAATAAATTACTTAAGTATATTTGTAATACTGATTATCGTACAGCCTAATATCAAGATATGTTGCCAATACAAGAGTAAATGCGAGTCCCAGGATGTAACTGAGAAGAAGACGAGCGATCGATTCATCTTCTTCTCAAGATGTGTGAGGATGCCGACTTTTGATCAAGCTTTCCTCTGACCGCCTTGAACAGGCATATTCTGTTGCACAATGCCAACTTTAGTAGCATTCAATGTTCTCATTGATTGTCAATGTCCTTATAGATGCATATATATTTTACAGCAAAGTGCACACAATTTTTGGTAGGGCTTTCCTGCGAAATCGCTTTTGTTTGCGATTAACAATAAAAACACCTACTTCCAACTTTTCAGTAGGTCTAATTTCTGTCTATCCAAACACTCCCTTGGCTATGTTAACCATTGGGGTATGTCCTTATATTTGTATTGGTCCATTGGCATCCCTTGCCGACCAAAAGGAGTTTATTTTGGTCAATTTCGTTCCTTGCGCATGCTTTCCACATACATTTTTAGTTCAGTAAAACAAGTGTAATCGGTTTTAATTTATTTTCTATTGTGCACATATCACGTAGTAAACACGCATTACATACGCCTTAATCAAGCATCAAACCTTCAGCCACGATTTCCGTAGGAAACTTGGGCGGGGGCACTTCTACCATTGTGCGACCTCACAAGAAATCCTTTCCTCTTTTTTATATCCGTTTGGTAGCAGATTACGCCCCTTTCAAATGGTATACTTAAATAGATGGAAAGGTCACTCAGTATTGCAGGTGGCCTCGCGCTAAATTCTATGGGGATTTGGAGTTAGATGAAGGTTGAGGTTAGTAGTAGGCTTGGGGTAAGGGTTAGTTTCAAATGTCACACAATGGAATACACGTCAGGCTAGAAGTAAGCTCAACAGCATTTTTAAAAATGGGAATAGGTTTTCCTGTGTCCTACTTCGGCCCACGCAATTAATAGTGGAAACGATAAATGCACGTTATCGAATATTTGGTACAAATTCCGAATTTTTAAAATTGGAATTTGCTCTGTGGTTGTGTGAAACTATGAGGAGGATAGGATTTGTCACATCCAAGTTAAATTTTATTCTAATGCTTATAAAGTCATAAAATGTCGAAAATCAATAAGACAAATTTGTTCTAATCAGGTCGCTGCTTTTCGCACCCGTGTGGCTGTATCCCTTGAAATACCTTTCTGCTTGAACTCTTTCCGCTTCATATAGGGACGCATGAAGTCAGATGTCTATCCATTTTGAAGAATAGCTTTAAAATGTATTTAATTTCTGCCTGATAACTTTCGTCAACAGAGCAGTATGTTTTGGTTCGATTTAGAAGATTGTAGACAGAACTTTTTTTACGAGCGATTAAGTTGTTACTGTCAAGGTGCAGGATGACCTCAGAATATCTATTTTTTTCGATAAACTGATGCATGCCGTCTGACGATGAGCTAGAGAACCAATCTCGAAACTGTAGACATTGCAATTTCCGTCCAAAGCTGCCCGTATTTCAGTGCACATATACATATAGTGCCTGCAAAGACAAGGGAGACTGGAATGACCATTTCTGGCTTATTAGCCGTCGTCAGCCAGTCATACACAGTCCCAAGTAGTGCCCCACTCGGGCCTCGAACTTGTGAACTTTTCGATCCGAGTCTAACTCTCTAAACATTGAGCCACGAGCTCGTTGTCTTGTTAGTTTAGGTCAGAAAATATTGACACTCGTTGATGAAAGTTCATCTGACTGCCAACGGGACTCACTTGCCCGCTCTGCCTTGGGCAGTCGCATCTGCCTAGACTTCTACCAGCTCTAACTGCTGCTAAGGCCCGAGAAATGAGACCCAGGAAAAAGCGGGACAAGTAGGTTCCATGGGAGTAGAGTGTTCACCGATCTACCTGGTTAGGGAATATACTTGTCCAGTTGTGCCTGGAAGCTCGTTCTAGAGCAACTGTAAACAGTCCCTTAGCGACTTCAGACATGTGATGGAAAAAGCAACGAACCCGTGATTAACTGGTAGAGTGTTGCGTTCAATGACTAAAGGTCCTCCGTTCTTATCCCAGGTTATCCACACCTGGGATTGGCTATGACTGGCTGATGAGGTCTAATACGCAAAAAAGGGCTATTCCGGTCTCCCTTGTCCTTTTTGGTTCCACTCAACATACATATACATACGCAGACATGCATCAGTTTTGCTGAGGGAAGTTCACACCCTATATCAATTTTACGTGTTTTCCCAAGTACGATTCCACCATAGTCGCAACGGTGCAGGCGGGAGATTTGGCGGCGGTACGAGAAGCTCTGCAAAAGGGAGCAAACGTCGATGCTCAGGACAGCAACGGCAACAGTCTACTGCACCTAGCCTGCGAGGCCAACAACCTGGAAATGGTGGAGCTTCTGCTTAACTACGGTGCGGATCCCAATCACAAGGAGGAAACTGTAAGTAGTCAAGTTCTGCAGACACGTGTGCTGACTTTGTTTTCATCAAATTTCAGTGATCAACAAATAATCAACCAACCGGTTAGTCGGTTAAGAAAACGGTAAAGAAAAGCAGTAATGCAATGCTTCTACTTTGTAGGCTGATGCACATTAGTTGTATCACGATCAGAGAAGTTTACAAAAAAACTTTACATGCACATTATTTTATTGTCTACGTACCTGCTTGTTACTTGTTGTCTGTGGTAGTCGATCGAAATGGGGGAAACATATTTAAGAAAATCGTAAGTCAGGGAAACCCGCCGTTCACGTTTGCTCAAACTGTATGCTTATGCTTTCCTTTCTGGATAATGTGTGAAAAAGCCATATTTTGCTTACTGGCCTTAAGTGAGTAGAAATGGTTTTTTTGAAAATAAATGTTTGTTCTAGCAAATCATGCATTATTTTAGTCAGTTTTGTTAGCCCGCTTCGTTCGCTTGTTACTTCTAAATACTTTTACTTTGGAAACTCAGGTAAAACTTAGGGGAAACAGTTTAGCACTATTTTTCACAAATGATAATTTCGCAAGTATGATGCTTGAAAAATGCAATAGAAAGTACTTCATTCCCTCCTTTCTTTATATAAGGTGGGAAAAATTTCATCATTTATGGTCTGAGGTTGTACACATTGAGTTGAAAACGTTAGTGTCCAAATTCTGACATTAATTCGCAGTGGACAACTTCCTTTCTGATAATTTAAACAGGATACTTGAATTTCTTGTAAAATAAAATTTTTAAAAAAACATGTGAAAGGGACGTCTAACTCCAGTAAAAAGCCAGAACGTATAAAAAATCCTTTTGAAGAGATATCATGCTGGACACATTACACAGTTCTGATGCTGCGAAACAGCTTTGATTACCTTTGGAGCCATATTTCTTAAAATCCTAGATCGATTTCAACGTTTGGCATATCGAGCCTTTTTAGCTAGCGGTCCCGCAAGTCTAAAGACCCAGAAGACGTAAATCCGTATGTTTTATAACCAATCTTTAAGGGAATATGAAGTTATTCATGCCATTTCTAAACGTTTAAGTATCATTTGTATATCATATAATATGGCACCTGTATTGCAAAATTTCAAAATACATCTGCCGTCCATCTTTTCATCCGAGAAAACAGAAGTTTTCCATTAACATACGTCGGCTGTTCGACATCTTTTTCAGTCAAGTATTTGAGCTTAGCAGTCACTGTAAGCACTACCATTTAATTTTTATTTCGTCTCTGTTTCAGCTGGAGGATACACCATTACATATAGCAGCTCGCAGAGTTAACGTGAAAATCCTTCAAGCCCTCCTGCGGCATAATGCGCAGGTGAACACCAGAAATTTCAGTGGTGAGACTGCCCTTCACTTCGCAGTTCGAAAGGATGGAGAAGTGGCCATGCGTCTCCTTTTGGATGCCCGTGCGG